TGTTTCTTGCCTATAGATCGTAATAAAAAAATTTTTTTATAACAGCGGTTCACCGTAACCCTCCGACATTGCTAGGACTACTATGAACGCCATAGACATCATCAATGACAGAATCGATCACCTGAATATCTATCTACATGAGTAGGCAGGCGGAGTTGATTGATAAATTGAGTTGGACAAAGAAGCTGATATATATATATATATATATATATATATATATATATATATATATATATTACATTGAATCATTCATACAAAAAGTAGATGAGTAAAGTTAATGATATAAAATGGCGAAATCCTTCGCGAACAAAATTTTAAAGTTTCATTAATCTATAAATCACTATGATCCTTGTTTTAAATAATTATGAGCTGTATAAGGTCTTTTTTTTTAATATGCAAGTACTTTCAACTGTACATTCGGTCATCTTCAGGCATGGAAATTATTTTGTTTTTAGTAAAATCCAGGTAGCATCAGAGACGAAAAATTAAATGCGAATCGAAATATGTTTATTTTTATTTATTTATTTTTTTAAATGTGTTATTGTTAACGGATACAAACTTCTGGAGTGTGCCTGAGGATTAAGTATGGGAAAATCCTTGTTGAAAACACAACTATACTTAAACATGAAAACAATAAGCAAAAAATAAAAATTCTTGAAGCTATATACATAAAACAGTTGGAACCTAACCTGAGCAAAATAAACTACGAAATCTCCACAAATATTCTTTACTGCCTATAACTGATAACAGAAGCCATTGGTTTATACCAACGGCTTCCCATATTTAATACTTCTCATTTTCACTCTCGCGTGGTCATGTGTGACGTCACGAGCTGCGACGCGATTTTCGCTTCCGCGTCTCGTATATACGAGTTAGTCGTTGCTTTGAAATTTTTCGTGCAACAAAAACAGACTATCATTATTGTTTCGTCCGTGTATTGTTTGATATATTAAAATGTTTATTGTCATCTTTGATAATGGCTTATGTAAGACGAAATCTTAGATTGTATTTAAACATGTATCAATATGGTGATTTCCTTTCGTCCTTCAATGATAATGTTATTAAGCTTATCAGACAATATGAAATGAACTTACTTAAAATAGACAAAACTTGTATATATTATTTAATGAAACATGCATTAATGAAAAATTGCTGCCTATATATATATATATATATATATATATATATATATATATATATATATATATATAAATAAATGAACATTGAAGTCAACACTCTACAGGCGACTGGCTGTTTCATGCTGGCCGCAATCGTCAGGCCGCCTAACGATTGCGTCCAGCATGAAACAGCCTGTCGCCTCTGAGTGTTGACTTCAATGTTCACTTTTATATTTATATTTACATACGTTCTATCTGTGATATTGCGCACTTTATCCCATAAATATAGCACACCTTAAAACTATATTTTTTCATAAACACACATTTGTATAAAAAACTAAATCAAAGCACCTTGTCTGTCGTATTCAATGAAATGTGCATGAAAGAAAGATTGCAGCCTAAACGCAGGCACACACGCACGCACGCACGCACACACACACACACACACACACACACACACACATATATATAGTATAAACAATTAATTACTCAATTAAAGTTTAATTGCCATTAAATACACACACACACACATATATATATATATATATATATATATATATATATATATATATATATATTATAAACAATTAATTACTCAATTAAAATTTAATTACCATTAAATACAGGTTAGCATTGATTTAGTTGAATACAGTACTCATTGCCCTGTGGATAGAATCACATATAGAACGTGACAAAGATATTAAGAACGTGACAAGCTAAATGTTTCACTGTAATACACAGCACGTTATATACTCCTATTGTGTGGGGGTAAAAACGATTTTTAGACGCTTAAAATAACTTTTATATACGAATTTGCTTATCACGTTTTTAATATGATCTAAAAATGTAACATTAATCTCCCCCCCCCGCCGGTTTACACTCCTACCTGGTCTTCTGAACAGGAGTAGAGGTTTATCCTTTGTTTCCTGTTTAGGATTCGGTTTCCGGTTCCTTCTAGAGTCTCCTTCAGCTCTGTACTCCTAACGTCTGCGCCTGATCTCTGGAATTTTAATCACTATTTATTTGAATTTTTTTCTCTCTCTCCTCCGCCAATAGGAGTAGATAGGCTCGCCTAATGACCGGTTCACACTCCTCCCCGGTCTTTTGAATATGAGTAGAGGTTTATCCCTTATTTCCTGTTCAGGCTTGGGTTTCCGGTTCCTTGTAAAGTCTGTTTAATGGTAGACTAATCGATATGTATGTTAGATTCTGCAGAGAAAAAACTATCACGCACGAAGCAGTGAACCGATATTCTAACCTAGCAATGGATTCAGTATAGTCTTTCCTCTTTATGTCAGCTGAGAACGCTAGCCACCTGAGAAGCCGTTGCTTTGGGCAGTTTATGAAACTAACTGCGCTGAAACAGCAAGACAAACACTAGGTCTAGAAAAAGATCTTTCTCTTCGTTTTTGTGTCGACAGGGAGAGTCTAATCGATTTATTTTTTTTTTATCCAAAGCGTTCATTAATCTCTTATGAATGAGTGTTTCGTCAGATTAATCAGTTTAAAACTCTCTTTTGTTATCTGATTTCTATCAAGAACCTAAGTTCGATCAATTTACATGTCTATGTGTTATGTCTACTTTTTTTTTTGTTATGTCTACTTTTTTTTTTGTTATGTCTACTTTTTTTTTGTTATGTCTTTTTTTTTTTTATTATGTCTTTTTTTTTTTTATGTCTACTTTTTTTGTTATGTCTACTTTTTTTTGTTATGTCTACTTTTTTTTTGTTATGTCTACTTTTTTTTGTTATGTCTACTTTTTTTTGTTATGTCTACTTTTTTTTTTTGTTATGTCTACTTTTTTTTTGTTATGTTTTTGTTATGTCTTTTTTTTTTGTTATGTCTACTTTTTTTTTTTTTTGTATGTCTACTTTTTTTTTTTATGTTTTTTTTGTTATGTTTTTTTTTTTGTTATGTCTATTTTTTTTTTTTTGTCTATTTATGTCTTTTTTTTTTGTTATGTCTACTTTTTTTTTATGTCTATTTTTTTTTGTTATGTCTTTTTTTTTTTTATTATGTCTACTTTTTTTTTTGTTATGTCTACTTTTTTTTTGTTATGTCTACTTTTTTTTTTGTTATGTCTACTTTTTTTTTGTTATGTCTACTTTTTTTTTGTTATGTCTTTTTTTTTTTGTTATGTCTACTTTTTTTTGTTATGTTATTTTTTTTTGTCTACTTTTTTTTTGTTATGTCTACTTTTTTTTTTGTTATGTCTACTTTTTTTTTTGTTATGTCTACTTTTTTTTTTGTTATGTCTACTTTTTTTTTTGTTATGTCTACTTTTTTTTTTGTTATGTCTACTTTTTTTTTTTTATGTCTACTTTTTTTTTGTTATGTCTACTTTTTTTTTGTTATGTCTACTTTTTTTTTTGTTATGTCTACTTTTTTTTTTGTTATGTCTACTTTTTTTTTGTTATGTCTACTTTTTTTTTTTAATTGCAACTCGTGTCTTGGACATTTTTTTCTTGCAGCACGATTATTTAACGCACAGATTTTTAAATTGTATCTCAATAGAATAATATTCTTTCTCTGGTTCTTACACCTTTAGTAAGCTAGCGCGTGCGTTGGGCCATATAAAGGTTTACCTGTCCCCTGATAATAAAATAATCACACCGCATCTCCCATCTCGCTTATAACTATCCATTACAACAAGTATAACATTTTGGGGCGCTAAAGTCAATCCAGCAATCGGTTTGCGAATTTTTTTATAATTTCAAGAAAGGACAACATGGTTCAGTGGGTAAAAGCGTTAGTTGAAGTAATCCGGTTACATGACGCAAAAGAGTTGTGTGTTCAATACCTAGCCGGAGCAGAGTTGAACGAAAAACTTGGAGAGGTGAAGAGAAATAACTGAGATATGCAGAAAAGACGTGGAACTAGAACAATCTTGGTGGACAAAATAAAGGTTCCGGTTCGAAATTCCAACGTATATCCCCTAAAGAAGGCCGAAGTGTACAACGGCCGAAACGTTGTGGATATGATAATAAGTGTGAGGACAACAGTCCGAATAATGTAAAGATTTATTTTAGCTTTATATTTTATCATTCCTTCTTTTCAATTTTTATTTCTCTTCCTAAAATAGACATGCCTGTCCAAATAATAATAATAATAATAATAATAATAATAATAATAATAAGTGTAGTAATAAAATAATCACACTGCATGTTCCCTCTCGCTTGTAACTGTCTATTATGATGAATATAACGTTTTTGGCACTAAAGAATTATAAAATTTGACTTTGTGTTGTCATCATATTACAATTTATTAGATTAAGTCACTTTCGCAATAATGGAATCTATACTCTGGCCAGACAAACAAACTACAGATCCTTATAGTACGAACGGTCAGTACCTCAGAAATTTGCTCACATTACTACCGACTCTTCTAATTCAGAAGGCCAACAGTCAGATCGACGAGGAAGGAGAAAGCATGCCAAGTTGAAGCATCCTAACTCAGAACCCCGTAAACCAGGAAGTTCCGAAACTTTATTAGGAAGAAACACAAGGAAGACCTGATAAAGTTGAGCCACCCCGACAATCCCAAAGAACCCGCAAGATGTCAGGTCATTTGTAGGATTTTCTTCCATATTAATAAAATAATACTGGGGGAGAAGATATTCACCTACCTCCCCACGCGGTTGGATATGGCACAAGGCCGAGTTTATTGTGGGGTCTCCGAGCGCGTGGGCTCAGCCAAAAATTCCCCGTACACCCCGTAAAAAACGGGACTGGGTAGCTGTCTACCACCCAAGACGAGACTCTGCCCTGGGGGAGAATGTGGTAATAATATAAGCACACCGCATCTCCCCTCTCGCTTGTAACTATCTATCGCAATAAATATAATGTTTTGGGGCGCTAAAGTCTAATAAAACTTGATAAACTT